GTTGATCCCTCTGGCAAGGAGGCCTCTTCCAGCTCAGAGGAAGCCCCTGGGTTAGAGTTGCCACATAAAATGCAAATATTGCATGGCCCAACTTACCGAAAAAGTTACTCCTTGTTTGTCTGAAACTATTTGACTGGGCGATGTCTCAAATACTACATAGGACATATTTTGTTTAAAAAATATATTTATTACATCATCCTTCATTTTGTACAATGTGTGATTTCCCCATGACATTCCCATAAAACAATTCACCCATGCACCATTACCCTAGTACATAGGACACATGCTTAAACCTTTTACTTATTATTGTAAACTCAAATTCAAATGAACAAACAATATGTATTTTTACTTGCTAATAATAATTTGGCCTTAGTGAAACACTCAGCTCACCCAAAAGCAAATTTAGGCCTGACCAATTTTTTTTTTTTAAAGATTTAGTTATGCATACAGAACTGGGCTACAGGCCAGAGGTGCAGGGGGTGAGAAGATTCACCAGAGACAGAGTGGGGAGCAGAACAGGCAGATAGATGAAGTACACTGCTGAGGGGAGCAGCGGATGAGACAGGAGAGGTCTGCTGTGCCATGCGGGTCAGCTCCCTGGATAGAGCTCATGCTGCAGTGACTGCAAATAGCTTCACAGTGTTGAGCTTTAACCCCTTGGACCACCAGGGAATCCCTGGGTTTGATTTCTTCCTTGTCCCACCTTACCCCTTGGGCATGTCCCCCACCCCCAAGTGACAGGACCGGGCTGTAGACACTGCCCCTCCCTGTGCCCGGGCTACCTACCCACAGTCCCAGAGCCGCAGACCCCGGTGGGAGGCGGGGTGACGCTCTCTCAGGTGAGGAGAGGCCGGGAGGCGCATCCGTTCCGACCTTCCCCAGGCCTCGTCCTGAGCCAGGGTGGTGCTGGGCCAGCCTGGAGAAGGGTCCTTCGCAGGGCCCTGTCTCAGGTCACGTGAGGTATATGAACTGGGCTCATCTGGGCCCCGAGTTACGTGTGAAGGCATCACACGCACATGTGTGTGCACTTGTACATGTGCCATGGAAAAGGCAGTTTCTTCACGCTTCCAGGGGCAGTGTAGAGGTGGGCTCCCCTTGCCAGGCGTCACCCCCTCCTCCCATGCCCCTACCAGGAGCCATCTCAGCCCAGCCACACCTCTGCCCTGTTTCCCAGAGGTCCTCATGCAGGTTTCAAATCGGTCAGCCGTGTGATGCTTGTCACTGTGGATTGCTCCCAGCCTGACTTTAGAGAGGAAGGGAGCACCCGGCCTGGGCAGTCAGGCTTCCTGGGCCTGTTCCCCTGGTAGTTGCAGACAGCGAGGCCCAGGTCTAGGAGAGGAGCCCCCGTCCCTCCCGGTCCCCATATTTCTGGGCCGTATCAATTCGCCTGCCCTACGGTATCCCAAATCTGCGCCCATTTCTACCATCCACACTGGCCCTGGGCTCTCCCGCCTTGAGGGCCTCCATGACACCCCACTTCCCACTTTTCTTTGTCTAAGGCCCCCAAAGTCCATTCCACTCTGTGTATGTCTAAGTGGGTTTCAGGGTTTAGCGACCTGCATGTGGTCTCTGGACATGGTAGGACCGAGGTGCAGCTCCCTGGGCCCAGAGGGAGCGGCTGGACCTCTGGAAGGTGTGTCTCTGTGGGTGGGGAAGAGATGGGGCAAGAGCCTCATCATGCATGGAGTGGGGTGCGGGAGTAGAGAGCCAGGATGGCTCACCATCCCTGGCAGGAGGCCATCCCAGGCTCCCCCAAATTACTGTGTACTTGGTCAGACCACCAGTTTGGGACTCTGAGCATTTGAAGAGCTTATTCTTAAACACCATTGAGTGCCCCCTGTGAACTAGGCATTGTGCCAGGTGTAGGGAACTCAGAACTGGCCACAGTGCCTGCCACGGGCATTAGCTACCCAAGAGTGTGGGGTGGACCCACTCTTGACACCCTGCACAGTTGATGACCAAACCCAAGTCAAGGTCTCCCAGGACCCTCTGATCACTAAGCACATAGGAAAGGGTCTTGTGCCCCCCTCCCCAGCCTTCCTCTCTTACCCAGTTGTTCCACATCGAACACCCTGGAAGACCTGGCTCCATGCTCAGAAACAGTGGGCGTACAACTCAGTGCATCCTCCTGGAGGCAGGTTAAAATTCAGATTCTGGTTCAGGAAGTCCAGGGTGGGGCCTAGGATTCTGCACTGCTGACAAGCACCCAGGTGATGTGAGCTCCTGGTCCAGGGGCCATATTCTGGTCCTGGAGGAAGATCTTGTCTATAAGCCCACGGATACCCTGGCAGGGTGGGGGTGATGGTGCCAGCCTGGCCAGCCTGGCCACCATGGACTGAGTTTAAGGCCAGGCCCGCTGGATGGGGTGGACAGCAGGTGTGAAGGGCTGGTGCCTTGGATGGGAGGTGACGTTTTCTGGGGGCTTCAGCTTGCTGTATCAACCAGGAGTGCAGAAACACTGTGGAATTACAGAGATGCTGGCGACAGCCTGTTGGCTGCAGATGTGGGCTATGGAGCTGTACTGCTTGGGTTTGAAGCCCAGCTCCTCCACTTGCTAAATGTGTGACTCTGAGCAAGTTATTTAAGCTCTGTTTCTCATTTTTTTCATTGGCAAAATGTCAACCTCATAGCTTGTGACAATTGAGTGTTTTGATACCTGCAATGCCCTTGGAACACAGGCTACTCTTGATAGACAGAGGCGGCGAGGTCTGAATGAAGCTGCAGGCAGAACATCATCCACTATGGGCTCCGCTCCACAGAGGCCAGGTGTGCGCCTTCCCGGCCAGGACCCGTGTGAGGCTTCCGGCTTCTAAGGCCTGGATACGTGCACATTGTTGGGGTGCATGTCTACAGGGGAGCAGCACGCCTGTGGCTCTTGAGCTGCTCGGTGATGCCTGGTAGGTCGGCCATGTTCCCATATGGGTGGTGCAAAGAGCACTCGCATGCCCTCCTTGGCTCCTGGCTAGCCAGGCCCAGCGCCCTGGGAGAGGCCGTGGTGAAGCGCCCTGCACACGCAGGAAGGAAGCAGGGAAGGACATTCTATATGGGGTGCCATGTAGACTCTTAACACTTCTGGTGACTTCTAGGGCACCTGCTGGGCCAGGACTTGCTGTCCCAGGCCAGGAGCATCAGGGGTCACTATAAGCAGAGGACGCTCTTGAGGCCTAGACACTGAGGTGTTCAGATTCGCTTCTCTAGCGTCCATGGACTGGGCTGTCCTTTTCTGGACAAGGTGGTTGTATAGATCGACTCTCTCTGCTGCTCTTCTTCTAGAGGGATCTTTCTGGAACAGAAACCTGATGGTGTCTTTGCTTGAAAGGCCTCCATCGGCTCCCATTCGGGTAACAGTACTGCTCCCAAGGCCCTGCACCTCAGCTCTGCTCCCCCTGTCTCACTAGCCTTTCATTTCTCTGGCGCTCCTCCTCAGGCTCTCTTCCTGAACCCTGCCTGATGGCTTTCAGACCCCCACAGCCCCACACTTTCCACTTGCTGTTCCCTCTGCCTGGAACTCTCTTTCTCACCTCCAGCCTTGACTGGAGGCTTCCGGCCTCCTGTGGCTGCCACTGCACGGCACCATGAACGCTAGCCTGGGTTTCCCACTGTACTTCACCAAGAAAGATGGACACCGTCTCCGTTTGGCAACGGAATGTTTGTCCCACATTTCCCAAGCTGTCTGTACATAGCAACATCTGGGGTGCTCTTTAGGAGTCGATTCCCAAGCCCCTTTCCAGGTCTTCTGAGGCAGACTCTCCTGGGGCCTGCTCGGGGCTCCCTATTTTCACCCAGCTCCCCAGATAGCCAGCCACAGGCCACTGGGGGACCCAGTCTGCAGGGACCGGCCTTGCCAGTAGAGGGCACTCACTGAAGGGCTTTGGTCCCTTCAGGTCAGGTTTGATGCAGGTGGGAGGTCTTTCCTAATTGCAACTTCCAAGAGTTGTGCCAGTCAGTTCTCTCTCCCCGCCAAGGCGTCATTCCATGGGCTCCTTGCTGTGAGTCTGGGAGTTTGTCCAGTGGCCTTTTGGCAACAAAGGCCGTGGGGAATGGCGGAGGGTAGAGATGGGGGGGGTGTAGGCCGTCGACAAGTGGGTTTGTGCTGTTGGATGAAAGTGTCGCTTCGGCCCCCTGCCCAGGCGCATCAGCTACTTAGTGTGAGGCCAAGACTCCTCAATTAGCCAAGTCCGGGACTGCAGACCGACTTATGTGGCCCCAGTGTGGTCAGCAGCATGAAGGTGGGATTTCAGGCCGGGAAGCAGAATAGCATATCGACAGAGGACACCGTGGCTCGGGCTTGGCTGTAAAAAGCCAAGATGGATGGTTTCCTTGTTTTGCTGGGTGGCCAGGAACTAGCACTCACATCACATGGTCTCAGGTCACTGTGGGCTCTCTGGCTGTGGAAAGGCAGAACCGCCTCCCGTCTGTTTACCTCTTCTGAAAAATGCCATAGCTCGGACTCTGACTTGACCAACAGGGGCTTCCCATAGGCCATCGACTAAGTGAGAAGGACTTTGGCAGGCCCCTCTTCCAACAACCAGGTCCTTGAAGGGACAAGGAGCAGGTGATACTGGGATGGGAGTAGGGAGTGACTTCTGTCTGGGGAGGCCTCTTCTCCTTGCCAATGGCAGAAACGTCTCATGTGACCTTGGCATGGACAAGACTGAGAACTGTGTCACATCCAGAGCAGGGAAGCTGGTATAGGTTTGGGGGTGTGGGGGGAACAAGGCTTAGCCGCAGTGGGCTGTGGGGCCAACCCTGGGCCTGAGAAGAAGTGTTGACATCATAACTAGGAGCAGACAGCCTAAAGCATCCAGAATTGGGGGTTGTGATGGAAGCCCGGTGTGGGAACTTGAAGAGCGGGGCAAGGGCTGGGTGTGGCCCAGTCACAGCTTCAGTCCCAGCTGCCTCAGAGGGGCTGTTGACCTGACTGGCCCAACCCAGCCCAGTCCCAGAGCTCGGCCTCCACCTTGCCCTGGATTGACCCTCTCCACCCTCTCTCCCCCCAGGCGCCTAGATGCCAACCTCATCTCCCTGGTCCCGGAGAGGAGCTTTGAGGGGCTGTCCTCCCTCCGCCACCTGTGGCTGGACGACAATGCACTCACCGAGATCCCAGTCAGGGCCCTCAACAACCTCCCTGCCCTGCAGGCCATGACCTTGGCCCTCAACCACATCAGCCGCATCCCTGACTGCGCCTTCCAGAACCTCTCCAGCCTGGTGGTGCTGTGAGTGCTGCCCCACCCCCACCCCATGCTGTCCCCCACCATCCCTCGGGGCTGCCTGCCTTCTCCAGAGCTGGGCTGGAAGCCTGGACAGCTTTGCTCTTCTCTGCCTGTTGAACCCTGTGGTCTCAGTTTCCCTTTATTAAATGAGATGGTCACCCCTGGCTGACACCACAGGGTTTTGGGGGTGAGGGTGGGGGGCCGGGAATAGGTGACATTAGGGCTGTGGAAATGCCTGAGAGCCCCTAAAAGGCCAGAGTTACCACGACCAGAAACCGGGAATTAAGCTATTATTTTCTCTATACCATACTAATTGGAATATAAGTCAAGAATTTCTTAAATAAGTCCCACCTTATTTGACAGATGATGCAGTCAGATGCTTGGCGCAGGGGTAGGATAAATCCATCTCGTTTCCCAGGCCTGGAGAAGCAGAGAAAAGTCATCACTTGTAATTAGACAGCAAAGCCCCAACAGGTTAATTACCTGGGAGATAGCATCCCTGGCAGGAATTGGGGACTGGGGTTAACTCTGCCTTCCCAGTGGGAACTTTAGAGTGCAAATTAGCTTCCAGCTAATTGCTATGAGTGATTGGTAAGTTCATAGGATAATTACTAAGGGCTTGGAGGTCATGTGTAATTGCTTCGGGTTGTACACTAATTGCCGCAGGAACTTGTGTGTTGGTGACTGTGCTAAATGGTAATGTTACATCTCCTGCTCTTGGAAACCTGGTGTGATTTTCCAAAGCAGTGAATGGATGGTGCTTAGATCCATTTGGGAGATGGAAAAGCAGTTCTCTCTCCTCAGACGCTGGTGCACGGTGATAAATCTCCTAAATGGATCTTACCTTTCTATCAAGGTCAATCATACTCTCTCTGCTTCTGGGGGTCCCTGTTGACTCTCTGTAATACACCCCGGGGTATTATATAGTGAGGGTATTAAAGAGGGTAGACAGGACAAGCCGGTGATGTCATGAGGGGATGAGAGACACTACAGGGAAATTAAGTGTCTCGAGGTGAGTCCCAGACAAAGAGCAGCAGCAGGCATTTCTATAGCCCCTGTGGGGGGTGCTAGAGAGTCAAAAAGTTGAGACAGCTGCTGCCCCCAAGGGACTGACTGTCTATCTAGTTGAAATAACAGAATAAATATGGAAAGGGACTAATGTAACTTATGCTCATGCAGCCAGATCATGGGACAGAAGCAGCAGCAGAGAGTTTGGGGAGGCTGAAGTAGGTGTGGGAGAGTGCTAGGAAGGTTTTGTGGATGAGACGGGTTGGGTTCTGGACATGGAAACATGACGAAGAGTCAGGCACATAAAAAAAATGTTCCCAACTGGTGTCCCTAAAGACACATGGGACAAAGTTGGGGCGCTGGGCTGTCAGCACAAAGCCAGCCCAGCAGGGGCACAAGACCCTCTAGCAGAGTGTGGGAGAAGAAGCTAGAAAGGTGAGTTGGGGCGCTCGTGGTCTCGAAGCAAGGTGTTGGCTTTATCTGCCAGTGTGGGGGAGGGGAGTCACACAACACACAAGCAACACACAAGGTGTTGGCTTTATCTGCCAGTGTGGGGGAGGGAGTCACACAACACACAAGCAGAGGTAAAAGGTGTTGAGGAAGGTGATTTAAGGTAGGGACAGGGCGAGGATGGAGACAGGATGGTCTGCTAGGAGATCGTGGGTGGCGATCAATGTGCAGTTTAGCAGGGCGGCAGAAAGGATGGAAGGAGGGCCTGGCGTGGAGAGGATCTGTAGGGAGTGTTGATCTGATTAAAGGTTTAGAGCATGGAAGACAAAGAAGGAGCCAAGGGTGACTCCACAGGTTGGTTGGGGACCAGCTTCAAAGTCAGGCCTGCAGCAGGTCTAGGAGAGGTGTGTGTGTGTGTGGGGGGGGGGGAGCACTGGGCATGAGGCCCCCCTCATGCCTACAGAAAGAAGATGCCAGAACATGACCCCTCTTTCCTTCCTCCTGCGTGGAGGAAGAGGGGATGCATGAAGGGGGAGCATAAGCCAGGGAAAGCTGATCAAGGGTTAGGGGGTGAGCAGTGGAAAGCCCAGGAGGCAAATAAGGAAGACAGGGTGTGGCTGTAGCAAGGGGATGTTAGATTAAAACCAAGTGGTGGGCCAGGGTCTAGCTGGAGGCCGAGGAGACATGCCCAGCGGGGCTTCACTTCGACCCAGGCTCCCAGCGTCCCTCGGGCTGCCCATGACAAGCGTGGGGCTGTCCCTACCATGGATATGGGCCAAAGGGGACCCCAGTGGACAGCAGTGGTGTCCTATGTCTATGGTTCTTCAGCTGAACCATGTCCCTCACCCTCCCCAGGCTGGGGCCAGGTTCTTCTGCCCAGGATGCCCACGGTTGAATGAGTGCTTTGGAGTTGGAGGTCTGGAGCTAGGTGTTTGGCAAGCTGAGCTGGTCTGGACCAGAGATGCTGGGAAGGTAGATGGGAGTGCAAGATCGAGACAGAAGTCCCACAGGAGTCAGGCGGCTGTGAGAGAGACTGGTGATAGCTGGTCAGGGGCGCTAGTTTACTCCCATTAGCAGGGGAGTGAGACGCTCCTCCTGGAACCTGACGGAGCAGGTGGGGGAGGATGGAGGACCGAAAGGACCAAGGCCCGGGGCCCTCCCCCACTTAGGGTATGTCACATGGGGCCGCCTGCTGCCTTCTTTTTGAACAACATCTTGGAAACCAGCCTGATTTCTTCCCCTTATAAGTGTTTTTCTTTTTTTGCCTGAAGATGTTTTTCAATCCTTGAACTTTAATAACTTAACGAGTGTATGTCACAGTGTAGAATATTCTGCATCCAATTTTCCTGGAACAATGTATGCTTTTCAGCTGCAGATTCCATTGTTTCTTCATTTTAGGGAATTTTTTTTTATTATGTCTCTGAATACATCTTCTGTTTCATTTTTGGATGCTCTCTTCCAAGACATCAATTAGCCTTTATGTCTCCTACATCTGTTAGTTCGTAACTATTTTAACCTTTTGGTCTCATTGACTGTATCCACCAAGGTTATCTCAAGCTTTTTCTCTGACACCAATTCAATTTTCAGCATCTCTTGACTAACTTCTCAGTGATTTAGTTCTGCTCTGCAGTTTGACTCCGTGGCCTACAATGCCTTCTCTTCTCTTATTATAAAAACTTTGTCTTTAAAATCCTCATCTGTTGCGTGGTTTTTGAAGGCAATTTATGAAAATTGCCTCCTGCTCACATGTATTAGTTCCATTTTCTTCTAGGCTGGAAGCTGTGCCTGGCTTTTGCAACCTCTTCTCTCCCTGTTCCCCTGTTCTGTTTTTGTAATTGCCATGTGATTTCTTTTATCTGGCTTGTGCGTGTGCACTCGATCTGGCTGCAGCTTGGGGGTTAGTGTTGTGGCTAACTTGGGCTCCATCCACTCGCCTGTTCCTCAGAGGTGGAGGCTTGTAAAGAGAGGCAGCGTGGTCTGTCTCTTTGTTATGCTCCATGGCTCACTTCTCTGCAGACCCAGATTGGGTGAGACCTCTGAGTTTGCTCCCCTCACCCCCACCCCAAGCATCTCTTGGGCTTCAAGCCATTTCCTCAATTCAAGAACTATCCTGGAGTCTTTATTTTCCTTCTCTTCACCTGTTCTCTTTGGAACCCAGAAGTGGGGAGGGGAAAAGGATATCCACATAAGGGCTTCTAGTCAGATTGGGGGTTAGGGACAACTCTCAGGCCTTTGTTTTCTTGCCAGTTCAATTCCTGGAGAAGGTGTGCGGGGAAGGGGGTTGAATCAGAGCTCCAGATTCAGCCTTTAAGTTTATTTCCATTGTGCTTTGCTGCTGCTTATATTATTTGGGGTAGGAGCAAAGTCTTGTCTTGCTATTTTCACTGATTTCATTAGGAACTGGAAGAACACTCAGCCGCTTGTCTTCAACTATTCCTTACCTGGGAAGCCTCTCTCACACTCACCTGCCGCTCATGTCTGCCAAGCCCTCACCCTTCTGCACAGATGGGCTTGTCCTCACCTCCCACCCTTTGCCCTGCCATCAGTCTGCCTCAAAAGTCCTTTTTCTGCTGTTCAGATCACCTGCCTTCAAGGTCATGTGCTAGGCCACTGACTGGTAAGGCCATAGACCCCTCTGGCCTTACCAGGCTCCTGGCTCTTCTGCTGCTCCTCCAGCTGAGACAGATGCTTTGTCTTTAATTATCCATTTTCTGCAGTGGCTTGCGTCTGGCCACTGGGTCAGGCAGGCTGCATCGGGACAAAGCACTTAGAGAAGAAGCTTTGAACTTGAGCTCCTCTGACATCAGGCCCTTCTCCCAGAGCTTTGGGGAGCCTGCTTTAGCCTTGACCTGGGGCGTTCCTCTCACTTTTCTTTCAACAGGAAGTAAGAAAAGTGATGTAGCCGTGGTTAATGGGCCTGTAAGCCTGGCTGCAGAGGTTGGTGTTAGCCAGTCCCTCATCTCAAAGGGTTGGACCACTAGATAAATTCTGTCCACGCTTCTGCCTCCACTTTCCTCTCGGAGTTGCCGTCCACTTCCCCCTACGCAGGCCTGACAGTGTGGGCCCCTGTGCTGATGTATCTTTCTTTCCTACACAGGCATCTTCATAACAACCACATCCAGCATCTGGGGACCCACAGCTTCGAGGGGCTGCATAACCTGGAGACTCTGTGAGTGTGGGGGTTATGGCCAAGCTCCAGGGTGCTGGAGTCCCTGATTCAGGAAGCGGGGCATTGACAGAGGGAAAGGCCAGGGGGACTGGGTGCCAGATTGGCCCTCCAGGCCTGCCGTGTGCTCCTCTCTGGCACTGTCTCTAGACTATCACCTAAAATGAATTCCTTCCTCCATCAGGTGGGTGGTATGTACCTTCTGGGAGTTCAGGGAGATCCTAGGACCCCTGCCAGCAGCGACCACCACAGTAAAGCAACATTTTTTTAAAGATTTATTTATTTATGCATACAAACTGGGGTACAGGCCAGAGGTGCAGGGGCAGTGGGAGGCTTCACCTGAGACAGAGCGGGGAGCAGAACAGGCAGATCGATGAAGTACACTGCTGAGGGGAGCAGCGGGCGGGTCAGGAGAGGTCTTCTGTGCCAGGTGGGTCACCCTCCAGGGTAGGTAGGGATTGAACTCATGTTGAAGTGACTTTAACTTCTCAGTGCTGTGCTTTAACCTGCTGTGCCACCAGGGAGAGCCCGGTAATGCGAATTTTAGACCGAGATGGGAACTGCAGGGAGAAGCTACAAGAATTAGGATATCAGCCTGTGGATGGAAGACTGGGGGTGGGGCTGGGGCCGACTCGTGGCACTCTTGACATCTGTTTAAGGGTGGCTGCTGACAGAAGGGAGAGTGATACCACAGAGTAATGCCGGCACTGTTTGCCAATTGATCTAACTAGCCGGATGATTAATGGGGAGATGGCCCATTCAGCGCTCCAGCCTGACTATAAAAAGCACACAAGCTGTTGACTCTTAAAAAGCCATATTATTCACACATCATCATCCTGGAATCCAGTGAAGGTCAGAATGCACCCAAACCCTCCATCATTTCCTCTGGAGTCTCGCCAGCCCCGCAGAGGGGGCCGAGCGGCCCCACTTGAGCAAACAACTGGCGGGCTCTCCCGGTACTGCGGCCTGCCAGCTGGGGTCCCTCAGCTCCCCCCAGGGAGTGGCTGCCAGGGCCACCTGATGCCAGCCTGGAGGCAGCACTGGGGGGAGGATCCACAGATCACCGGTGTGAGCCGCCCAGTTGAGGGAGGACTCACTGTGTCAGGGGCTGGCCACAGTTCCTCGAGACCCCCCCAGCTCACATACCCCCTCCCCGCCTTGCTTCCCTAACCTCCACCCCACAAACACACACACCAGGGTGCAGCTCCTGAGGTGAATGATTTTCTAGAACCTAAAGCAGGAGGAAATGCTATGAGACAAGCTGTTGCCCTGACTAGTGACTGCTGGGGGAACCATTTAGCAGAGCCACCCCAGGGGCCTAGGCCCACTGCACTTGAGGTAGTGGAGGGGAAGAAAGGGGGGGCCGAGGCCAGGCTGCAGCCTCTTTCCCTCCAGGGTGAGGTTGGGGGGCACAGCTGCTCTCTGAACTCAACCTGCCGGAGAAATGGCAGAGTTGGGTCTAGCTGTCCTGGAGACCCCTCTCCCCCTTAAGCTGACTGAGTGCCCTGGAGTGGGGTGCAAGGGAATGACTCCAGCCTGGAGTCAGGAAAGCCTGACTGGGCTATATACTTTCCCCTCTAGCTCTGCAGCCCCCACACCAGAAAACTGATGTCCAGGGAGGCACGTGGCCGCCAGAGTCAGGGGCAGAGCAGGCCTAGAGTGTTCACCGAGGAAACACCCATGAAAGTCCCAGGGGAGCACCTGCCATCCTCCGTCATTGCTGGGGGATGGGAATCGCACAAACCTACTGTGTGCGAGGTCTTAGGGGATCCCAGATACAAGGGGTGGCTCTTAGCTTCTTAAAGCCCCTACCCCCACAGTCACCCTCCCTCGGGACATAAGAGAGTTTTGGGGGTGGTGTTTGGCTCTTCTGGGCAGCCACAGAGCAGGAGGGAGGCCAATGCTGATCTGCCCTGAGGTGTGGGGCCGTGAGCTCTGCTGGGAAATCAGGTGGGGAGGGGGCACACATACTGGGCGTGGGTTGGCACCTCTAAAAAGCCAACTAGCAGTTATTTCTTCACTTCTGAGGCACGCTGCCTAATTCTTTCTCAATTAGCCACTGGGTTGCCGTGTAGGGCATCTGGCACAGCTGGTGCTGGCTTCATTACAGAGCAATCCTGCCGCTCAGCGCCCACTGCTCCTTTCATCTACAGGGGTGTTTGGCTCCATCACATGGAGCCCAGAACCTGCACCCACCTTACAGGTGGGAACGCCAAGGCTGAGACAAGAAAGCGTGTCCCTACATTGTATGGTGGAGGCAAGGCGAGGCCAGGTGGAAAAGTTCGCAGCCCTTGGCATCAAGCAGGCCGGGGTGCAATGCCAGCCTACCAGCCCAGTGACCTTGGTCAAGTCACTGGCCTCTGTAAGTCTTAGTTTTCTAACTGCAGTATCCTCCCACTGGCAACACCGAATGCACAGGATCGACTTATGCATTAAATGAGATGATGTATGTAAAGTTTTTACAGAGCCTGGCAAACCGTCTTCCTGTGCTTTTCTCCCCCCCCACCCCCCAGTGACCCAGTCTCAACACTACCCCTTCCTTCCCCACCCTTGAGGGATAAGTTCTTCTTTCAACTTTTGATCTCCAATTAAAAAGGGGAAAAGTGTGTTCTTTATCCTCTATACCCCGGAGCATTTGCTGGGGAGCCTGCAGGGGCTGCCAGATGTGGGGAGGGGGAGGAGTGGTTGGGAGAATAAAAGGAGAAAGAAATGATAGTCAAGCTTTTTAATTGCTGCATAATTGGCACACTTCGCAGCCTGGGTTATTACTCCTGAGCTTTTCATGTGAGCTTCTCCCTGGAAGGGTATTTCTCCCTTGGGCCCCGTAAATCTCTGCCACTTAGACCTCTCTCATCTCCCGCAGCAGGGGGAAGATCAAATCTTTCTGGCCAGAGCTGTGGTTTGGCTCGTGGGAAGGATCCTCTTAGGAGAGAGAGTGGCACCCAGCCCTTCCACCTGGGAGGCGGGGCCGGGGGCTGGCGCAGCACGCGCATGCGCAATCACATCGCCACCTGCACCACTCACTGCAGACGACACATGCCCACAGTGCACCTGCCAGGTGCTTCCGGCCCCCTCAGTCCTTACCCCAGTGTCCCAGCAGAGCACAGAGACGCCTTCGCCAACGCACACAGGGCAACACGGCTCTGCGATGCTCTGGAAGCCAGGCTGGCTGGGGTCCTCCTGTGCTCCCATTTGCAGATTGCACCGGCCATAGCAAGCAGCCTGGTCTTGCTTCTCGGCTGCACAGTGGGCTGCCTACTGGGGAGGGTAAGCCAGATAGACATGCACTTGCTCGTTGCTCTCAGAGCCAGGTAAATGTGATCAGGCACGGCCCAGGTCTGGGCACTGCTGTGCCTTCTCTCCTGCTAAGCAGTACAAATCATGCCCACTGCAGGCACAGCTTCCTGTGCTCTGAGGTCAGATCACGCTGGGGGGAACTCTGGGGTCAGATCATGCTGGAAGGAGCTCTGGGGACAGAGCACCCATTTCTCCTGATGAGAGGGTGTCAGAGAAATGCCAGCTGGAGACGGACAGGTCTCACTCTGCTGCATCCCCACCTCCCCCTGTTCCCACAGTGAGGCTGCCCTTTCACTGTTGGGAAATTCAGTCAGATGGGCCAGCCCCCTCCCTTGTTTCCTCAACTTTCCCCATCAGACTAAATCCCAAGACTTAGGGTATGTGCCCAAGTTTCTACAGTTGGCAGGCGATGGTAGATCACTAGAAGTCAAACCTCATGTCTCCTAACACATTTCTCCTCTTAGCACTAGCTCCTGTGTGGTCAGATCAATGACAGACTCTCCTGGAGATCTAGGTTGAGAAAGAGCATGACCAAGAGCAGTCTGGGAAGCTTCTTCCCTGAGGCCTGAGGGACCTGAAACCTTTAGGTCATTGCTCCGTCCATGAGCTTGGAGCCACAGGGAGCTACTCCAGCCTGACTGTGTCGTCAGCTACTGGTCCCTGAGTCTGGGTTACACTTACTAATAAATTCCGGACAAAAAAATAAAAAAGCAAAGCAAATGCAATTGCATCCTGAGGGGGTCTGCCCTGTCCCCTAAACCGGGAGATTTAACATCTGCCTCTCAGCTGGGACTCCGAGAGGGCAAGGCCTAAGGTAGATCTGGGTACCGAAGCACCTCCCCTCCCACAGACCTGGGCCTCACTACTCACTAGAACCTTTTTATATTATTATTTTTAAAGATTTATTTATGTATACATACAGAACTGGGTACAGGCCAGAGGTGCAGGGGCAGTGAGAGGATTCACCAGAGACAGAATGGGAATGGAACAGGCAGATTGACGAAGTACAGTGCTGAGGGGAGCAGCGGGCGGGTCAGGAGAGGTCTGCTGTGCCCTTGGGTCAGCTCCCCAGCTGGGAAACCAACTTGTGCTGAAGAGGCTGCAGCCAGCTTCCGTAGTGCTGCACTTTAACCCATTGCACCACCAGCGAAGGCCCACTACAACTTTCTTAAACAAATCCCACCCTCTAGAGCTCCCTGCTGTCTGCTCCCCACGGGGAAACCTGGGGCCTCCAGAGAACAGGAACCTCCTGACTCTAGTTCCCTCTAAATCAGGGCCAGCATTCAACAAGGGTCTGGGAGGACAGGGAGTGCAGGAATCTGTAGGACTTTGCCTCACAATTCAAAATTAGCATTTTGTGGAAACCCTTCTCTGGACCCAGAGGGCCCAGCAATTGGCTTCTGCAGAATATTTGACGTCAACAGCAGCTGTGGCTGCAAAGTTCTCCCTGTCTCTGTGTCCTTGAAACCACCCAGACCAGACAGATCTTGCTGGAAACTCACCCTGACTTGGTCTTATAAGCATCAGTCACTTACCAGCTCCTGAGTGATGGCCAGCCATTGACCAAGCATAGAAACCAGGCAGGTTCCCACAGGAGCAAACTTCTTCCAGGGCCCAGGCCTCCTGGAGGGGAACAACGGGGCTGGAGTCAACAGACCTGGATTCCAGTCCTGGCTCTGCCCCTGGTGTGTGGCCCAAGAAGTCAC